TTAAGGGACAGCTATTATCAAAAGTATTTCGTTTAATTTTTGATTGTGTACAGTTGTAGGGTAGAATGATTCAATAAATTAATTTCTTGTCGTTTCTCTGTCGTTAAATGATAAATTTGTAAATGAAAACCATCGTAGTTAAGCAACGACTGTAACGGTAGACGTTAAACATGTAAAAAGGTCTGTCGCTACTTCGAAGTGACGATTATGCATAAATTCCTTTTCACCGCGGGCAAAAGTAAATCTAACCGGTAAGCTCGCGGCCGCACCGTTGCTTTGGAAAGTCATTTTTAGCAGTTCCTTCGAGAATAGAGAGTGTAAAGGTCTCTTCACCTATTTTGCAAATGAAGTTCTGTGCTTGCCACTTTCTACAGAATTTGGGACATTTCTATTTACAGATTTCGATTATAATCAATTCTTAAAAGCGTACGTATGTCGTTTTTAATTAATTTTTATAGCATTTACATATTTGATTGATCACGCTGCGTGCAGTTTTTTTCAGAAAATTCTTCTGAAATTATTGTAAAAATGTTTGTTTACGGATACGTTTCGTGAAAATTTTAATTGAAGTAGTCGGACGAGAGTGTTTTTTCCGTGACGAGTATACTCGTCGTAGAAGCTGAAGGGTTGTACGTGATAATGATGTAAATTACTCTTTCAGATCAGGTTCATAGAGTTTCTTGAACCGTAGGAGGAGCTGCGCGTACGTAACAATTAAGAAGTGAACAAATTGGCACGTAAATTAACGTAAATGTAACAGCTCTGTTTAACTGGTAGAGGTGCGATGTAACGGGTGGGCATGCGGTACAGTTGGAGAGTGTCAGTACGAGAATAATACGTGACTCNTTTCATAAAGTTTAGTTAAGGAAAATTCATTTAGCACGAAGTTATGTTCACTGATTTACTTCGAGATCAGGTTTCAGAGCAACGCCATTCAAATTTTATGAATCTAGTCTATTCCTAGCTTAATTTTATTAACTTTTAACACGAACGAGTGTCTAGAAGAAAAGTTTCGTTATTTTTTGAACGAATACGAAGGAGATATTTTTATAAAGTTTAATTACACAATAATTAAATTACTAATAAAGTTTAATTACATAATAATAATTACATGTAACATTTATTCACGCCATATTACGTTTTTCAATTCACTTCAAGATGAGGTTCAAACGCCATTGAGATTTTACGAAGCCAACTCTCTAACAGCATAATTTGATTAGTTCTTAAACAGGAAACTTCTGAAGGAAAATTTTTATATACATTAACATTTCATAAAATGACAGAAGAACATAAAATCGAGGCTTTGCTCACTGAAGCAGTTAAAGAAACAGTTAATGTAACACACGTTTTTCGCCAACAGTGCAATTCGTTTTCTCAAGTAGAAAAAGTGTCAGCTGTTCTAATTATTATTACAAGTGGGTAACATGTTTTTCTTACAAGCATCTATTCAAACGTCCTTTCTCCTGATGTCTGTCATTCTTTTAATGATATGTCTGCTACGAAAACGTGTTGCTATCATTACTTAATGCTGTGCATCTGTGCGTAAAATTTGTAAACTGACTCAAAGTGTCACGAACCATATGAAATACATAAAACGTACCCATAAAATTCTTTGAGATTTTTTTTGAACTATATGAACATATTTTACGGTCATTGTAGAATTTTATTGAGTTGTTCAGAAGGTAATTTAGTTACTAAACCAAATTTCGTTTCGTGAAGGTGTCAAAAGTGCAGCTGATTCAGTATTTTTTCACTTTCATCTTCTCATAAAAAAATGAAATTACTTGCCAAATAACCTAATGCATCAACAAAATCATTTCACTGACTGAATAAATTTTTAATTCTTGTTCCGTTCAATGCCGACGATCCAGAAAATTAATAATAATTTAGCCTGTGTAATTTTCTACATTTCTAACAGATGGAGCTTTTAAAAAATTAATAAATTCTTTCACATTTAATTTACTCTTTGTCCACTTATTTTTAATTTATTCAGAGTTTGCTTTAGCAAATATTTCTTACGAAATATGATAAAAATTCCGTCAAAGAGAGCACACACACACACACACACACACACACACACACACACACACACACACACACACACACACACCACACACACAGAGAGAGAGAGAGAGAGAGAGAGAGAGAGAGAGAGACATACCTGCTTCGGTCGTCTGCCATTGGAATTGATGAGACAACTTTCTTCATGCATATTTCGTTTAATGTTCTGCATAATACTTTATTATCCACTAAGAAAGAAATTGTCTTCATGTTTGATGACAAAAGATTCCATGATTGCATCCCGAGTCATTCACAACGCGAAGTGTTATAAATAACTTACTGTCGACTATCCTTTACCTCATACTATTGTTTACCAATATGCAAGATCGATACACAAAATTGGTAACTTCGCTACTGTATTTTGAATTTCTCCTCGTAATTTTAATCCTTGCTGCCTAAAAAAAAACTTACTATTAACAGGCTTTTCTTGTCTGGAATTTGTACAAATCCAGTTTTGCTAAAGAATGTGACTGCAATAACTTGTTTGCAGAAGGATTTATTTCATTTCGTTGCAACAAGGACGTTGTAGATGTTTAAAGTAAATGTAAACATTTTCACCTAACTGGTAATAGGAAAGGAGAAAAGAAATATGTACTCTAGAGACTTAAAAGAAACGACTCTAAATTTCAATTTTTGTAAACTCCACATGAATTTTAGAAAATTCACGTTTGTTCGGATGCAGCAATAATAAAATCAGCTGACGATAACAGTAAATACCCTTCGCTATCAAGTTCGCAAGAATTCATTAGCATATCACTTCTACTGTCGAAGTGATAGTGGTTTCAAGTTAAACTTGATTGGATAAACTAAGTAGGGAGTACGTAGGTTTCTACAAAAGAAAAACGTGTTCATCGTGCATGTATATCTTATTTTCCAGAAAGTAGCCTCGTAAAGTAAGTTCACGATTGCAATTTGCGGCGAGACGAATACGGTTGAATATATTATCAATTACCTATATTTTAGTAAATATAGTTGCATTTTATATCAATAAGTAAACAAAAGTAATATAAGTAAGTAGCATGAGTGAACAAAAAGAAGCATGAAAAACTATGTTGTCGATTACTTTTTTTCAGTATTATGATGACATTACAAACCAGAATAAAATTAGTAATTTCCATATTATATTAAGTTTAATTTTTTTTTTAATTAGTAAAATATGTGGAAATGCATTTCAAAATCAACTCAACGTTAACATTCATTATCTCAGAAGAGCGGATTAATCGTAATTAGTTGTTATATAAGGAAACATGGTACAGTTCGGGTCACTTGAATTCCTTAAAATAAAAAAACGCGCGGTTTGACTTTTTGTGGTACTACTACTTTCAACGACATGTTCATGCTCTCTTGTAAAAAATTAATTTCCGTTCTTCCTTTAAACACATTGTTAGCTCAACCCATCGTTCCACCGTCTGACGTCGCAGTTTTGTTAACGGTTCTTTTCGAATATCTCGATAATAGTATGCACGTTTGTCTACACCATCCAGGTTGAACTGTTTCTCATAGATGAAAATAACGTTTCTGCAGATTTTCTGTAGTACGCGATGAACATTTTGAATGTTAATACTTGCACCATAATGGCAACTTCGATAAACCTCAAATATCTGTGGCTGTAAGGAAAAAAGGCAAAACGTCAAATTTCAAAAACTTTCAACTTGTGCATGAATTGAACAATAGAATAATTCACGTATTTATCAGGAAAGAATCACGAAAACAGATTCGATAAGCTCAAAAAATGAAAAGAAACAACAACAAGGGTACACTTGTGGCGTTTATTCTTACAATCACAGATACATATGTTGTCAAGGAACATTCAGAAGCAACTACAGTTGCAGATCAAATAGAAATAATTCAAATTCCTGAGCTTTGCAGGTCGAGTTCCTGTCAATTTTGAGGGCGGTTTTCATAAATATCGACGATTGACGGTAAGAAAACATACTCATCAAATATTTTAGCGAAAACTATATGATACATAAACATTATCAAAATCAATGATTGATACATCGCTGAGTTATATTTACATAGAAGGCAGTCTTCGCATGTCATTCACTATTTTCGCGCCACTTTTTTATTGTTTAATATTTATACTATTGCTCGATAGACTGAGGTTTCCAGATAGCGTAATGACCTCCGAAATATTTATTTGTTACGAATACAAAATAATACGAGTAAACTGGTAAAAGTACGTGCATATATTATGGAACAACATCGTCTTCGTACTGTGTCCCAGTGCTCCATAAATCGGAAGAATGAAACAATCGAAGAAATAGAAGACGGAACGGCATGTTCTTGCTTACAAACATCCGTATACGAATAAACATTTTCTTTTACAGCTGATTGTTACGTAACGCGAGTGAATTTAGAAAGAACAATGTTCCAAAATATGAGTAGAATTTTTACATCCACTTTCATACGCTCTATCAATCTCTCATTGTATTGTGGTGCTACAGTTTTGAGAAGGGGTTACAAATGACCGGTGTTTCATAATAGCTACTTTTACCTTATATTTAGCCGACTATTTTCCAAATGTTAGTGCCATGTCTGACACGATATTACACAGAGCAAAAGAGATTAATATATCATTTTGTATGGAGAAACGACATTATTTATGGGCAACTCGAATAAAATAGAACACAATGGCAGCCAAGGCCGCGAACACCGCGCGCAATTATAGTGACAACAAAACAGCCTCCTGAGGAAAGGGCCGCGCGCCTGGAAAACGGTCCTACTTTATTGGATGGAGGAAGAAGCTGGAACTTGGGGCTAGGAGGAGTAGGACCGGGAAAGGGGGTAGAGAGGGAGAGAGAGAGAGAGAGAGAGAGAGAGAGAGGGGATGCTGAGGAAGTAGGGGGAAAAGAGCGACGGAAGAGGGGCCTTACCGGCTCGCCTCTGGCCTCTCTCTCAATACACCTTTCTCCGGTTCCCAACACCCGGCGGCGGGTCTTGCTTCCCCTTCAGTCCTCACCGGGACACAGACAAAGTTACGCACTCGGAGAAAGGTCAATCGGTCGGCTGCTCCGCTTGTCGAGTACCGGAGTTCTCGTTAACCGCTCGGTCCGGTAACCAGGTGGAAAATTTTTCATTGTTCTCGCGTCGCGACACAACTTCGACCGACATCTTCGATTAATCTCATTTTTTTTTATTATTTTTTTGTTTTGTTTTCGTTATCATCTGTCCGGTCGCCGATCCGCATCAGTTGACGAATCTCGCGAGCACCTTATCCTGTTCGGGAGCGAGTCGCGACAGACCGGCTGACGCGTCGGTAAATCGGGTCCCAGTTCGGGCAAGGTGGATTCGAGGTGTGCAGACAGGTTCCCAGTTCCCTTCACGGTTTTGGTACTCATGTAACGGGCTACGCAGCCATCCGGGCCGCTTTACACGAGACTGCACGTCTCCGGGTAATATCGTGCCGCAGCTACGTGCGACCGGGAAACAGATGGGTGAAGACATGTGGAGGCTTTGGTTCACGAAACTGCTACTCCTCGCGGCTCTGCTGCTAGCCGCGGCTCCAGGATCGCTGTCAGAGGGTGAGTTCTTGTGCCCTGAATTCTCTACCGTTCCGTCTCGGCTTTTCCCGAACGGAACAACTCTTCTCGACACGCCGAGCCACGTCGTTAAACATTCCGGTAACGCGTCGGTCCGCTAAATCGATCAATTTTTACATCACGGTAATGCATTCAGTGAACACTCTTGGCTATGACCAACTCTGTCACCGATCGCCGCGGAAACGACATTGACACCGAGATTAGTGTTCGATGATTTTCATTGTACAGCGGTGCCTCGGCGTACGTCCTTAATCCGTTTCAGTCGTATTCCAAAAGAAGAATGCACATCAGGCAAAATTTTGTCACGTTCAAGCTGGACGTATACCAAGTTGGACTTATTCGAAAGCAGGCGTATGCCGAGGTAGAAATCGAATTACAATCGAGTGAGAATACCTATAAAAGCAGGGGCTGCTTTTGCACTTCATGTACCAAAAATTTCTGCATAGCGTTTGGACACGGGATAAAGAGAGCCACCAAGTGGCGCACTGTTCAGAAAGGTGACGTCGTCGTGGTTAATGAAAGCGTGCTCGAAAGTTTGACATTTATTACTGGGATTATTCTATTGTTCATTTAGATCTTTCAGATTCTGATTGGATTCAGTTGACACAAGTATATCGCGTAAATTCGATTACTTTTTCGTCCTGGATACGAAATTGTGTCAACTTATATTACGAGTGACACGGCAGTGGAGAAGTTAAGGTGACGTTGCTCTCTCTTGTAACAGACAGTATAAAGAATTCTATTTTCTTTTTAGATGAGCAATCTAAAGTATAGTTAGATTCGGTTTTACAAGCGTTTTATTTATGCGCTGTTTTAAAAGAGATGTCAAACTAGATTAGATCCGCGTCGAACGTGCTGATCGCTTGCCCTTTTGACATCGCGCCGGAGTTGCGGTTAGGACTTTGAACAGATTTTAACAAATGTGTGCGGATCGTAGGTTCGGTATAAAATGCTATTATTCTGTTTCATTCGTTTTCTTTTTCTTGTTTTTTTTCCAGCGAATTATGAACGATGCGAGAGTTTTGATGCGCAGTTAGCATGGGAAGGGGTTAATGTGACAGGATTTTGGTGTTGTGTGACCTCGATTTGGTAAATTGTGTGACGTGTGAATGATGTCTTAAAATTATAAATTTTCTACGACCTGAGTTATTAGTTCCGGTGGCATTTTAGTAATCGGATCAACATCGAATTGCAGTGTTCAGTGACGGGCCAGTGGCCTTGGTGAATTGTGCGACATTTTACTTTAGCAATGACTCATTGAAACAGTCTTTCGCCTCTATTTCTTGTGCCAAGCTAAAGTTTATAATTCTGCAATTTTTCTCGCGCAGGGTGCATCATTCAGCTTATCAACCCCCGTTCATTAATGTTGTAACAGGATCAGATCGATTCAGTTGTTTTTGTTTATTGTTACAAATGAAAACGATATATAAATATTCTAAAACAGAATCCAAACAATGAGTTTATCGGCAGCGCAGAAAGATTCGAATAATGAGATAATTTCATACAATTTTATAGGGATACAGATTTAATACGGATAAATAATCAATAAGAGATACTAATAGAAGCAAAAGTAATACTACACAATATTTATATTAATAAAAAATGTACTATATGTGCGAGAACTGATTGAACCTGTTCAAAGATTACGTACTAGGTCAACCAGTTCAGTTGCATAAAATACGCTGGAACAAATCGAGCATCCTCGTTTTACGATTGCAGGTCATTTGATGTCACAGTTTTTAACGTAATTTATTTAAAGGAACAGTAGTAACTAACAATGGGTCCAAGTAATCTGTGGCTTCCTTAAACCTAATGATTAGACTGCGGATTTTATACATTTATGGCGAAATAGTAGCAATTGTTTAGTTTCCACTTCTTGCAATTGATGCAGACAATTTTTATTCTGCATAAAAAAATCCGCGATGATGTGCAATACAATAGGTTGCTCGTTTCGTCGCAAAACTTCCTACAATGCTACGAATAAAAATACATAGAATTTCAATTAACATAATTACTTTGACTTTCAAATCTCCTCCACTATCGCAGTAATAAAAAAATTATTTACACCCGTAACGCGCACTTCTATGACAAAACCGCTTTCGTAGAAATACAGTACCGTGGACAACAGAAACAAAAGGAAACGAAACGCTCTATTTGTATTCACAAATAATGCTTTGAATGCGATCGAGAGAAGGTATCGTAGAATCGGACGATTCTCACGCTCGATCATCCCTCAGCAGAATTTCTGCTGAGAAAGGATCGCGTTAGCTGAACTAAATTGAATTTCCCTAATCGCGATAACGAACGCTCGGGCAGGCTCGCACTAACGCGGCGCCGCGTTTGTTAGTCGCTGTCTCGTCGCGTTAACATCGTGCATCTTAATTGCAACAGGAAAACAGTTGCTTGCGCCGGACAATTCCACCAGCGAGAGAGCTACACGAACCACTTACAAGTGGATGTCCTATTAATGGGAACCAGCGACGTTATCTTTGCCAGCGACGCGGAAGAACAGCTGTTACCGGAGGAATTATTCTCTAATCCGCTTCGTACCACGGACAATTATCCCCGCTAGTGGGCCAGAAGAAAAAAGCAAATCGAAAATGCTTCACCGTCGAAGCGGTCTCGCGTTCGATCCGGCCAAAACCGAGTTTCCTACGCTCTTCCTGCACCGAGAATTGCACAACGTGTTCCGCGACAAGTCTTTCTTCCTTTCTCGTCACGACGAATTAGAAAGTGTTTAACGCAGCCGCTGTCGCCGACTTGCGAGCTAGTCAGCTACGCTTCGAACGTTTCGTTCGCGTAACATTTCTGCGAGAAACTTGCGAAAATTCGACAGGTGTACGCCTGCCGTTCGGATGGTTTATAATATTGCGTACGAGGTAAACGCGATTGTCGAGTGTGTAAAGTGTTCTCAGCGCTGTAACTTTTAAGAATTTCATCATTCGTATGCAGCACTTCAGACTCAGCACTTCAGACACTTACGCAGCCCTTTCTGAGACGCCTCGTTCACTTTTGCACGGTTTCCTAACACCTCTAAGTCACGTTTATGCGAATTTTTAACTTTTTACTCGGATTTGCAGACAGAGGCTTTCGCGAGAGTGACGTATCAGAATATGTAACATCATAAGATGCAGTTCTATATCTTGAATTGTCGTTTCTCTTTTACGCTTGTTATCGTGTTGCAAATCTATTTGTTAACGATCCTTTTTATCCGGACGTGTCTCTTTCACATGCTCTGGAAACGTATCTAGAATTCCAAAGTAAGGAAAAATTCGATGTTAAAAGATTATATAAATTCATGAAATGTATTAAGCTTTTCTATATCACGTTAACTGGCATACTGGTGTCCACAAAAGACATGTAAAATCGAACAACTTGCTTTGTACAATAAGTCTAGAAGATTTATTATAATAATAATTGTCTGCGTAGATTCAACCCAAGTTTAACTTGCTTAATAGGTTGCAATTACAATCAATTTTCTTCGATAGAAAAATTGTGCCAGTTATCTGTGACTGTCTCGTGGGCACTCGCAGCGTTAAGTACGATAGAAAAAGTTGTATATTGTAGAAAATTGTGTTTTAACATGTTGTACACATATCCATCCAGGAACAGTGACCGCATGCGTACAAAAATAATATTCATCGAGGAAGATACTATTTCAACAAATCGATGAATTTTTGAATTGATTAAACAACGACACACAAATTTAGAATTTCCAATGTTTAATATAATTCTTAGGCAGCTTTTACTGTAACACGAATCTGCAGATGTTACGATAAGCGTAGTTGAATTTTGCTCGCGATTAGATCGTCTGCTGAATCGTTTGTTTTTGTTTTGTTTGAGCTTGCAAGAAACATGCGTGCATGTTGTGATGTATCAGGTTTGAATAGTGCGATCTGAAAATGGCGGATGATTAGTGAATGGAACTAATTTTGCATAGATTCAATGGAATTAACGTTAATAAGCATGGACGCATTATAAGAGCCGCGATGGCCGAGGTGTTGTAAGGCGGCGGTGCGGTGTAACGGTGTGTGCGCGACGTTACAATACATCGCGTAAAGTATAGTGACCCAAATGGGTGCAGAAAATAAGTGGGAAGACAATGCGCCTGTGGTAACAGCGTTCGTCGGAAGCGCTCCGGGCGGATTCGATTTTTCCAAATAAATAGTGCTGCGAGAAAGAATTTGTAGTAACGTGTCAAAAAAAAAACAAAAAAACATTTAAACCAATTAATTCAGCGATCGAGGATGAAAAAATTAGTATTCGTTCGAATAACAGATTCGCCGGCGCTCGCGACGTTTCGAAATTCGTGTTCAATAATTTATAAAGTCGAAAAGCGAAAGAGAACGCAAAAACCGCTGAATTATTAATGCACGCACAATTAATTCTGGTATGTTATTAAAATAAATGGTATATTTCGAACACGTCGAGAGATAATAACCTAGACAGAAGAATTTGATTAGGACGCGTGGGGTGCTCAATCTATGACATTCGCAATTCGTTCAATTTGGTCGGATTAAAAATTATTATCTCATTTTTGTGTTTCTATACACAATCGAACGGAAGATCTTTTTGACAAAATTATAACCGAGTATGTCGAGGATCGTTTATAATTTTATCAGTCTTTTTTTAAACATACTTCTTCTGGACACGTTAGAATTTTATAGACCTTAATGAAACATCAGAACGTTTAAATTAAATGTTATAAATTATATAGCCACATAACAATATATATCGTGGTATAATATGGTATAATATATACCGCGGGTTCAAATAAGCCCAAGCCCTACCGTTCAGATATATTAATGAAACCTAAGCGGAAGTATTCACCGCGGTTAACGTTTATCATAATTTTTACTTCCTTACTTCTTCCACACAAATCACAATGAAAGTTAATGTTGTATATTACGACAGAAATTAATTGTCTAAATTCAACGTGGCAACCAACGTGTTACGATGTGCAGAATAAATGTATTTTGAGC